GCTTATTTTTTTATTTTTCATCTATTCACGCTTTCACTGTGAACCACGCTTTCACGTGAATGTGAAAAACTTTAAGATAAAATATATACATAAATTTTATTTCATAAAATTGAAATCAATATTAAATATATATAATAATTTATAATAACAAATAATAATCAACTATATAAAATGATTACTTTTTTATTTTAATTCTTTTTTTTTATTTTACTGTTTAGGGATAAAAAAAAATTATTTTAGGGTTTAAGGTTTAATTCTTAAAATTTATTTTTTTTATTTTAGGGTTTAGGATTTATAAAAAAAAATAAATTTTAAGAATTAAACTATAAATTTTAGGGGTATTTTTTTTAAGGTCCCTAATATTATGATTTTACAGTATAAAGGACATCAAATATTTTCATGATGTCTAAGGTCCCTCAACATCAATCCAAAGAAAATTCAAGTCAGAGAAAATTGATCCAGAGAAATTTTCCTTAGCCTTTCATGGACTCCAGAGAAATTTCAAATTTCTTTGTCGTGGGTTTGATCCTCCACTATTGTTGCTACTGTTGTTACCATCTCCACTGCCACTCGACTCCGGAAACCGAAATGCCCCAACTGTGGCACAAGTCTTTAAGTAGGAATGCTTCCCTATATTAAAACTATGAAGCTTTTTATCAGATTCCAAATCAAATTTTCAGAGAAAATTCTATCTAGTAAATTTCTTTGGACATAACAGAGAAAATTTCAAATTTCTCTAAACAAATCACATAAAAAATTTCAGAAAAAATTTCAAAATTCTATCCACTATAGAACCAATCAATTTTGCTGTGACTTGGATACATATGCACAGAGAAAATCTCATCACCAAAAAATTTCTCTGGATTTAAAACCAGAGAAATTTTCTGCAAAAAAAAAAAAAAAAAAAAAAACCAACAACAACAACCCAGAGAAATTCTGTGTTTGGTCTTTGAAATTTCTCTGGACACTTCAATTCAGAGAAATTCAATTGGGTTGATCTAGAGAAATTATCTCATTTGTATAGATAATTTCTTATTCTTATTTGCTAGTGTCCTGATTTTTGCAGGGATAGTCAAGGAAATACTGAAAGAACGCCTTGATTTCATCTCGAAAACAGACAGCCATGGATGTTCACCATTGCACCTAGCTTGCAGCAAAGGTCAGCTTGAGACAACCAGAGAACTCCTCAGATCAGACTCAGATCTCTCTTCTTCACAGGACCATGAAGGTCGAACTCCCTTCCACTGGGCAGCCATCAAAGGTCAAGTTAACAATGTCGACGAAATACTCTCCATGTGCCTTGAATCTGCTGAGATATTGCCTCTGTCCATGGCTGCAGCAGCTTTGGGGGCCCGACTGGAACGGGGCCGAGGCGGTGAGCGACGGCGAAGTTCTTCAATGGGAACTTCTTCGGTGGAGTTTTGTTTCCCATCTGCAGAACAATTAGATACGAAACAAGTGCGATTGGTCTTCGATTGGGTCGGGAAAATGAGGGATCTGGAGATGGAAGAAGAGGTTGGAGAGGAGGAGACAGACGAAATACTCTCCATGTGCCTTGAATCTGCTGAGATATTGCCTCTGTCCATAGCTGCAGCAGCTTTGGGGGCCCGACTGGAACGGGGCCAAGGCGGTGAGCGACGGCGAAGTTCTTCAATGGGAACTTCTTCGGTGGAGTTTTGTTTCCCATCTGCAGAACAATTAGATACGAAACAAGTGCGATTGGTCTTCGATTGGGTCGGGAAAATGAGGGATCTGGAGATGGAAGAAGAGGTTGGAGAGGAGGATCTGGAGATGGAAGAAGAGGTTGGAGAGGAGGAGACAGAAATCGGTCGACGCAAAGAAAGAGAGAAGTTGGTGTGGGTTCGATGAGAGCTGAGAGGAGAGAAAAGAGTGTAAGAGAGAGCTGTTGAAGCCATTGATGTGTGAGCAGAGAAGAGAGACAAAGTCAATTTTCTCTGATATATGTTTAGGGACCTTAGACATTAAAAAATAATTTTGTGGATCTCTTCCATTACGAAAAGTGGGAAAGAGACCCTAGACCGATTTTTCCTAAATTTTAAACCCTAAATCCTAAACCCTAAAATAAAAATAAATAAATTTTAAGAATTAAACCCTAAACCCTAAAATAAAAATAATAATAAATTTTATCCCTAAACACTAAGGTAGCGTTTGGTAACATTTACATTTTTAGTTTATGTTTATAAAAATTTTATAAACTGCTTTCTGTTTATTTTTAGAAAAAACATAAATTACAAACGTGTTTGGTTTGAACAAAATGTTTCAAAAAAATTTTAAAACATAAACTAAAAAATATGTCTATTCAAGCCTAAAATATATATATTTACATTTATTATTCATGACAATGGGATCACACATATTATAATTGAAAAAAAAATTAATTAAAAAAAATATTTGAAAAAAATTTAATTGGAAAAAACGTGGTTTGTAAAAATTATTGAAATTTTTTTTTGGAAAAATCGTTGGTTTATAAATGGTTGTCTTAGTTTATAAATTTGAGAAAAAAACGTAAACTCAAAAAATGAGTTTATGTTTTCAGTTTTCAAATAATTTTTTTTTGAAAAATATTTTTTTTTTCAATTAAATCTTTTTGCAATTATTTTTTTAATTAATTTTTTTCAATTATAATATGTGTGACCCCATTGTCATAAATGATAAATATAAATCACGTTTTTTTTCAATAATTTTTACAAATCACGTTTTTTCCAATTAAATTTTTTTTTAATATTTTTTTTAATTTAATTGGAATTTTTTTTAAAATAGTACTAATTTTGTCACGTTTTTTACAAATATTTTCCAATTAATTAAAAAAATTTGAAAAAAATTTAATTGGAAAAAACGTGGTTTGTAAAAATATTTGAAAAAAAAAATTGAAAAAACACGTGGTTTATATTTATTATTTATGACAATGGGATCACACATATTATAATTGAAAAAAAATTAATTAAAAAAATAATTGCAAAAAAAATTAATGCAAAAAAATTTAATTGAAAAAAAAATTATTTTTCAAAAAAAATTGAAAATTGAAAACGTAAACTCATTTTTTGAGTTTACGTTTTTTTCTCAAATTTATAAACTGAGACAACCATTTATAAACCAACGATTTTTCCAAAAAAAAATTTCAATAATTTTTACAAACCACGTTTTTTCCAATTAAATTTTTTTCAAATATTTTTTTTAATCATTTTTTTTTCAATTATAATAAATGTGATCCCATTGTCATAAATAATAAATATAAATATAAATATTTTAAGCTTGAACAAACATATTTTTTAGTTTATATTTTAAAATTTTTTTGAAACATTTTGTTAAAACCAAACACGCTTGTAATTTATGTTTTTCTAAAAATAAACAGAAACCAGTTTCTAAAATTTTTATAAACATAAACCAAAAACGTCAATGTTACCAAACGCTACCTTAGTGTTTAGGGATAAAATTTATTTATTTTTATTTTAGGGTTTGAGATTTAATTCTTAAAATTTATTTATTTTTATTTTAAGATTTAAGATTTAGGCTTTAGAATTTATAGTTTAATTCTTAAATTTTTGTTTTTTTTTTTTTTTTTATAAATCCTAAACCCTAAATCTTAAACCCTAAAATAAAAAAAAAATTTATCCCTAAATAGTAAAATAAAAAAAAATTAAGAATTAAAATAAAAAAATAATCATTTTATATAGTTGATTATTATTTACTATTATAAATTATTATTATATATATTTGATATTGATTTCAATTTTATGAAATAAAATTTATATATATATTTTACCTTAAAATTTTCACAATCACGTGAAAGCGTGATTCACAGTGAGCGTAAATAGATGAAAAAAAAAAATAAACAGTGAAAATGTGATTCACAATCACGTTTTCTTAAGAAAATAAACATATAAAGTGAAAGCGTGATTTAGAATTACGTTTTCTTCAGAAACAAACTTAAATTATAAGCACAGTGAAAGCGTGATTTGGAACCACATTTTCTTTACAAAACAAAATAAGTACAGTAAAAGCGTGGTTTGAAACCACGTTTTCTGAATAAAACAAATTTTTCTTACACGCTTTCTTAATTAAAAGCGTGATTTATAGCCACGCTTTCTTAATTAAAAGCGTGGTTTGTAACCACACTTTCACTATTTCACAAATTTTCTGCTACAAACAGTGAAAGCGTGGTTTGTAATAGCACTTTAGTCTAGTTTGAGAATTCCGTCCAAACTAGGCCTAATTTGAAAATTAAGATGATAATTTGACTTAATATAAGAAAAGCCCCTCAAAACTCACTCTCCGAAAAAGATGCACACATTATAATTTTAGTCAATTACATTCATCTGTGACAGAAAGTCTAATGATACAGTCTTAAGCATACAACAAATTCAATAATCGGAACAACCATGTTGTCATCCACCCTAGAGGAGTTGAATTCAACATTGCAATAACTGGTCAACAATCACGTTGGTGCTAACAATCTAGATTCTAGCCCAATCCCAATGACATCTCCCTGCCTCTCATGTATGAGAGGTCAACTGTTCGACTCTCACCAGAGGCAAGCATTGGTGGCAGCGCTTCTTTAACTTCTATCTGTCAATTGAACGCCCATTGCGGATTCAACCCGCAACTGCCAGTTAGCGGCTCCTATTCCTCCCACGCTTAAGAAAAGGCTAGATATATAAATTGCATTTCAAATTCTCAAAACTACAGTCATTCACCCTAGAAAGTCAAACCAAAAACTTCAATAAACTAGGTAGTAATCTTGTCAACCAAATGTCACTAACATCCATGGTGGAGTAGCTGACATTACCAACCTAAGCCTTTTCGTAGACATTCTTGCAACCTAAGGCTGCACAATGCGTCGGCATCATACCTCTTTTTGTTTTTTTTCAAACACCAGCAATGCAAACTGCTCTAGTAATGGTTACATTTGAAGAAATATATATATATATATATATATATTTCCAAACAAACAATTCAACTTCAAAAGGTTCATTCCCATATACCATAAAAAAATTTCCATATTATAGAAGTAAAAATCCTCAAAATCTCATTATATTTCCAATACATAATGGTGGAAACACAAAGTCTGCTGAAAACTGGTGGTTTACAAAGAATTAAGTGTTCTTCACTTGCACAATATCACTTCAAAGTAAAATATGATGGCTAAGTCCCAATAAATTTCAAAGACACCTCCTGTTACTAATAATTAGGGAAACCGAAGTTGTTCAAACAATATGGAATAACTATGGAATAACATGTATAACTTACAGTTGTAGTGTCTGAAGCGCGTTCAAGGGAACCGAATTGAAAACCCAGTATTGGTAGTTGTAACATTCACAGAACCAAAATCCTCAAAATCAGAATCTGAAGCCATGTCTCTGTAATCACCCCACTCACCGGGAGAACCCTCATCTTGAGCAGTGCGTGAAGAAGGAACCCTTAGCTCTGATATTGGAACCGGTAGAGGCTCTTCATTTAAATACTTGTCGTGAAGCAGTTCCATCGCAGTAGCTCTACTTGCTGGGTCGAAAAAAAGAAGTTTTTTGACTAGATTGATTTCATCAGGGGACTGGTTGGGAAGACGTGATTCCAAACCAAGTGGTTTTTCTACTTTACCAAATGATATTGTTTTGTAATCAGGAAGTTCTGAACAACCAGGCCAGATTTCCTCTGTTACGTTGCCCAAGACACAGAAAATTCTGCCTAGCTGATCGATATCTGAAGTACCTGGAAAAAGAGGTTCTAAACTGAAAAGCTCTGCAAAAATGCAGCCCAATGACCACAAGTCAATCTCTGGACCATATTTTGTGGATCCAAAGAGTAACTCTGGTGCCCTGAACCAGCGAGTTCCAACAATGGATGTGAGTGCACCGTATCGGTCATCTGCACCCTCCTCAGCCTCGTATGAATAAGAACCCTTGAAAGGATCATCATCGACATCGCTTGTCGTGCACGTAGCAAGACAGGATGTATCTCCATCATGAGTTTCCTTGTCAATTTCACTCATGGAGTCGTTTGCCTTGTGCATGTCCAAACCCTCAATGCCCTCTTCTTTACCCAAAGATCCATGCTCTTCATTTCCAGAACCATCTTGGCGTGGAATTTCTGTTTCTCGAACAACTTCAAGTGGTTGTTGAACAACACTAGTTGGATTTGGAACATTCGGTTCATGTAGCCGTGGGTTTTCATCAAAGCCAACAAAACCGGACTCTAGAAGTATTCTTGCCTGAAAATCAACAATTACAGGAGACATATAAAGACTATTTTTCAACAAAAATGTTGTACTAGTCTTACCAGAAAATACTAGTACCTTAGAGAATTACGTTTTGGAACGGACGTTCTGAAACATGATACACTTTTGTTCAAAAATGGTAAATTTAGCAATTTAAAGTGACCCCAAAAGTTTTTTTTCTAATATATTTTCTACGGGTTACTTAGGAGTTTAAAAAAAAAAAAATCAAATTTAACAAACTAAAATCTAAAGTAAGTGAAATTTTCACAAGACAAATCATAAAAAATGGGTCATAAATTAATGCTTATAGAAATGTGTTATTACATTGGGGGGGGGGGCCTCACTTTTTTAAAAAAAAAAAAATATTCTAGAAGTACATAAAATTCTTATAATATAATCTACACAAGTCTACTCCTACCTTATTACATTTTAGAGCATGTGGCGTACCACATTCTCGTTCCATGTACCGGAACTATCCACATTCCAGGTACCATAGGTTTATACATTTATATGATGTAGAGTAATGATGGTATACTGTATTTCACAGTGCTTGGGAAATATTGCCTAGTTTAGCTGCTAATTAATGTCAGAAAGCTTAGTAAGAATCCTCAGTTTTACTTCAGAAAGAATGGCATCACCATTTCCAAATGGTTAAAGAAAGAATTTGTTGGCTTGAGCTCATTCCAGTACATGATGAATAAACAGAGAAAAAATTGAAGCACTATTAGCCTTCCAGTTTTTGCTTGTTAAACTCTACCTTGCAAGTGTAGTCAGAAAAAGACATCTTCATATACACAGTAACAGGTGGAGAACAAGTACCAAAATGAGAAATGCAAATAGTACCATGCTGTTAATATTTATCGTTGAATCTTGAGGTGTAAGCTTAAATTTTTGTTTCACATAGAAATAGTGTAATATGCTATTAAGCAATGCCTTCAAGAGTTAGTACAACTACCAGCTGACTGTCTTCATGATCAAGTATAGCAACACAAAAATGGTTCGCACCGCTAAAACATCTAGGTTGAATCATTTAAGATCCATATCAATTTTTTTGATAAGTGCATCTGAGATTGATATTAATATCATGCATCAGTCAAGGAACATTTTCATTGGCTAAGGAACAAGGACATAGACATGTGACACGACATGGACATAGCGACAAGGAAATGTTCAAAAAATGTAGAACATAACAGTTGGGGGACACGTGCAAAAGCTATAATTATATATCTGTTTATGTCATATCTATGAATATTTAAGTCAAATATAATAACTTTTAAAGTCTAAAAGAGGAGAATTTGTATATATTTACATAATTTTTGTTTATCATTAGATTCTAAATTGTTTTATTCAAACTCATACTGAGTTTCATGTATGTTCAACACATTACCTTCTTAGAATTGTCTATACTTTTTAGCTAAAAGCTGTAAGTCAAAATTGAGACATAGTATGAATAAAATGCTCTATTCATTGATTTAAAATCCACAGTTTGGATAAGTTATTTCCCTTTGGTCGGTTGTCTTCCATTATCTTTCCTAACATTCAGAGTTGTTCTGGTATTGATTTAAATCCATTTTTACACCAGATTAAAATAAATAGAATGCAGCTTGCTAGCATGGTTCCCGTGAAGATAGAGTACGAGTCATACTAATCATGGTAACAATATTTGTTGGGAGGAAAATTAAGGATGTGGAGTTTTATACACAAACCCTTGTCTTCTTAACACATATTTCCCAAACCAAAGCACTCATAAACTTATTTCTCAAACCTCTCTTCTTAACACATATTTCCCAAACCGAAGCAAACGTAAACTCATTTCTCAAACCCCTGTTGTTGAGAAGTGTTTCAAAACACAGACTTCAATAAAATCGCGTTTTCGAAAACACTTCAATTAACTTAACTCTTAAACTCTTTAAAATCATGTTACGAAAACACGAATTCATTACTTAAAATGCATACTCACAAGCTCTGTTATTTTCTAATTTTTTTTAAACAGTGCAGCTCAAAATTGACAAAAAGGGTAATGAGGATTACAGCTTCCTAAATCATACCTCTCCTATAAACAAACTACATTCAATCAACAAAATCAGATCCTAATATTCAAATTGAAATCTTTCCAAACAACAAGAAGCAACATAATTTCAAGCAACTCTCAATCACATACCTGACCGAAATCGGCCAATTTGAGAACACCATCGGCCGAAATCAACAAATTGGAGGGTTTCAAATCGCGATGGACGATCGAATTCCGGTGACAAGCGTCAACACCGCAGAGAATCTGGACGATCCAGCGCTTGATCTCGCGGACGGTGATTCCACCATCCCAAGCCCTCTTTGCATCGTTGATGAGCGAAGCGAGGTCGGTGGGGAGGAACTCGAGCACGAGCACGGCGTCCTCGTCCTCGCGCCAGAAGTAATCGAGCAAAGCGATGACGTTCGGGGAGTTCTGTAGGGTTTGGAGGGCCTCAATTTCGCGAAACGCGGATTGGTAGTCGTGCACCTCTTTGAGAGCGACGATGAGGGAGTCGGAGAGTCGGCGAGCTCTGTAGACGTCGGAGTATGCGCCGGAGCCAACTCGATCGAGGATCTCGTACTTAGAGGTGATCTCGCGGCGGGTGTAGATGCTCCAGCTCTTTTCTGGTGGTGGTGGCGGCGGCGATGACGGTGGCGACGGTGGGTCCATGGTGATTTAGGGTGAGGAGGGTGGTGGTGGTGGTGGTGTGTTTGCTGGATTTTAATTTTTGGGGGGGAGTGTGTGGAATTTTTGTGGAGATGATGCAGTGTGTTTGAATTTTGTGAATTGTAATTTTTTGAAAATTGGATTTTTTTTTTTTTGTTTTTTAAAATACTTTTAAATTTTAAATAATTTTTTTATCTTATATAGATGTATTTAAATAATAAAATATTTATGAAAAAATATTTTAAAAAATTAATAAATATATAAAAATAAGAAAAATATATTGAATTTTCTAAAACTTCTGAACGAGCACATTATGCAACATCACCAAGCGCTCAATCGGTGACGTCTGAGTCTTAAGGTCGGTCAAAAATGGGGTGTCTACAACATGTCAAGTTTTGAGTATGCCACATGGTACACTGTTAAAGTATGCTAATGAAAAGCACTATGATATGATTTAGCAATGAAAAAATGATAAGAGTGAGAAATGGAGTAATTACTTAAAAGGTCGATGATGTAATTTTTTTGTGATTTTATTGCACATAAAAAATTATAACCCTCATTTATTTGTAATTATTTTTGGCATTGCTACACTGATTTGTAAGTCCCCTTTATTAATTAATTGACACATTTTGTACTATTTCTTAATATAATCAAATATATATATATATATATAAGAAAAATTACATTAAAAAAAAATGAGATTTAACCAGAGTGACAAAATTAATATTTTAAATTTTAATTTTATAATTAAATGTTATTTTTTAATTTTTTAAAATAAATTATTTATTTATTTTCGTTAAAGAAAATTAATAAAAAATATTATTTTAATTATTAAATTCAACAGAAATGGATATTAAGAATATTTTATATAAACTTATATTGAGTTTAATAGTTAAAATACAATTTTTATGATGATTTTAGTTATTGGAAAAGGCCAATGATTTAGATCAAAACAAAATCAAAATATTAGGATTAAATTGACAAAATAAAAAATTCAGGATTTTTTTGTCATAAAGTCAAATTCTATTTTTTTTAATTTCCTTAAATATAAAAATATATATATTTTATAAATGTAAAATATTTTAAAAATATATTTTATAATAAAATTTAAGGTAAATTACAGATATAACACTTGAGGTTTACTTAAAATATAATTTGCTCCTGTGGTTCTAAATATTACATTAAACCCCTTGAAGTTTCTAATTTTATAACAAATGATTTCTTTTATTAACAAATCATCAAATCAATTACTAATTTTTAATGATAAAAATTTATTTCAATAAATAATTCAAGTGATTTTATCATTGTATAGGAATTTTATTTTTTTAGTTAATTTTGTTAAATAAAAAATTCTAATAATGGGGCATCTGTAATTTTTCAAATCAAAAGGGACAACATATATTTTAAACAAATCTTAAAGGGTGTATTATAATTTACTCAAAAATTTAAGCAAATTTCAATGCAAGATGGGGTTTGATGAAAGTTTTATTAATAGTTTTTTTTTTTTTTAAGAAAAAAATAATTTTAGAAAAAAGGGTTGGGTTTGTCTCCAACTTGAGAGAATTTTTGGACTCCGATTTTTCAAATCAAAAGGGACAACATATATTTTAAGCAAATCTTAAAGGGTGTATTATAATTTACTCAAAAATTTAAGGAAATTTCAATGCAAGATGGGGTTTGATGAAAGTTTTATTAATAGTTTTTTTTTTTTAAGAAAAAAATAATTTTAGAAAAAAGGGTTGGGTTTGTCTCCAACTTGAGAGAATTTTTGGACTCCGGGAGGCTATTGTAAGTCAAATTTTAATGATTTAAATTGTTCATTTTTTAAAATTTATTGTGAACAACTAAAATGTAAAATTAAAACCATAAGCCCAAAACCCTTTAAAAAAATATAAAAAAAATAATTTTTTTGTTTTTTTAATGTTAGTGAAAAACTAGGCTCCGTTTGGTAAGCAGTTGAAATTATAGTTCTACCCATTGATTTGAGTGTGTTGTTTATTTTGAGCTTTGAAATCATAATTTTACACTCATTTTCTCAAAACTCAATTCAAAACATAATTATTACTTTTCAAAACTCATTAGGGGTGGGTACAGGTCGATTGCGGCCACGGAACCTCCAATCCGCCATCCGTCTACTAGATTGGCGGATTGGAGAAAATCAATCCGCATCTGTCCGTCAATTTGACGGATGTGGATTGAGTGGATTGGCGGTTTGGCAGATGGATGTGAATCGGTTTGGCGGTTTAAAATTTTATAAATTTTCAACATAATTCAACTTGTGCACTTCCTCAAAAAAAAAAAAAAAAAAGTACTACAGTCAATGACTTAAAAAAATATTACAATCATTGCATGCCTCATCCAAAGTAAGAAAGTTTAAAACTTTAGAATATTACAATCATTGCATGCCTTATGTACATACTACAATCACAACATACCTCATTCACATAAAATATTACAATATGTGGTTCTTAAAATATAAAAACAATTCAAACCACTAAAACCATGAACAGAGCAGTAGTAGAGATTGTATGTCTCTATATTGTTACATCTATATCTGTTTTTTAAAACAAAAACCAACCAGCATATATCATATTTTTTATTTATTATATTTACAGATATATTTAAAAATAAAAAAATATAGATAAATAATACGTTTATTTTTTTCAATTCAAAAAAGGTATTCAAGTTGAAAACTTGTTTTCAACAGAATATTTAAACTCTTTTTTAATTAAAAACACAAACAGAATATTTAAACAAACTGAAAACACAAAGTCTTATAAATTACTAGGGGTGCTCGCGGTTTGGCGGTTCGGTTGCGGCCAAAGGAATCTCAAATCTGCCATCTGTCCGCCAGATTGGCGGATTGGAAAAAATCAATCTGCAACTGTCCGTTCGTCATCACGCATCCGTCCAAAATGCGACGAATCGGTTCAATTCGGTCGGTTTTGGCGGATCGATATATCCGCTGCTCATCTCTAAAACTCATAATCAAACACATAATTCAAAACTCTTTTCAAAACTTAATTCAAATCAATATTTTAATTTTTTTAATATTTTAAATATTTTAAAAATATTTTAATTTTGTTAAGATTTTAAATATTTTAATATTTAAATATGTCACGATTTTTTTAATTTTTTAATTTTTTGAATTTTTAAAATATTTTAATTTCAAAATATTACAATTTTAATTTTTAAATTTTATTATTTAAATATTTATGATTTAAATTTTTTGAATATTTATTTCGAAAAAAAATTATTTCCTTTGTAATATTTTCAACTAAAAAATTGATTAATATTATTTTTTGTTAATAATAAATTTTTTTAATTGAATTTTAAAAAGATTTTGATTAGGAGTATTGATCAGAATTTTCAATAGTGTGAAAATAGTGCGTTTTGTTATGAGTTCTAACAATTTGAATTAAATTTTGAAAACTTTTTCCAAAACTCATAACCAAACAAATTTTCTTACTTCACATATCAAATTAAACTTTCAAAACTCAATTTCACACTCAATTTAACACTCTATTAAAAAAATCATAGCCAAACAAATTTTCTACACTCAAATCATAATTTCAAAACTCTCAAATTTAAAATTCAACTTATACTCTCAAATTATATTTACAAAACTCTACCAAACGCAACCTAAAACTATTTTGCCAATAAGTACATAGTCATTTCAATTATAATATTCTTGTCTTATGTATTTGCCAAAAGGGATCAGGTTTGGAAATGGCTAAATGGATGGAAAGAGAAGTCATTATCAGCAACGGTGGCTCAAGCAATACCGATGTACATTTATGTCTTGTTTCCAAATGCCAGAGGGACTGTGTCACGATATAAGTGCTCTTATTGCGAGGTTTTGGTGGGGGCAGAAGGAGGAGAATTGTAAAATCCATTGGAGAAACTGGGATTGGTTATGCAAAGCTAGGTGTGAAGGAGATATGAGGATGTTTTAGGGTTGGTTTGGCATGAATTAAATAATATAAAAAGTCAAAAAGATATTATCATATTTAAGTCATATCATTTTATTTAAATCACATCACATCTCTAACACATCACATCACATCAAACCCAACTCAAACCCAACCCATATAAGTCGATAAGTCAAAAAATGTATTTTTTTAGAACATCCCAAACCAACCCTTACTTTGGCATTATACAAAAAGGGAATTTATTCGGTGCAGTCGGCTTACCATCTTGAGATGGATATTCGCAAACGGGATGCACGATGCTCAACTTCGGATAGGGGTACTGTGGAGAAGGGGTTTTGGAAGAAGTTTTGGAGCATGGGAATTCCGGGGAAGATTAAGGTGTTTGGTTGGAAGATGTGTTTGAATATTTTACCGGTGCGGGTTAATTAAGGAAGATGAAGGTGTTGATCGATGATGTTTGTGAATTTTATGGCATTTGGAAGCTGAGTCCGTCCATCATTGTCTCTTCGACTGCAAGTTTTTTAGAGATACGTGGGATTGTAGTAGTCTTGATTTAGTTGTGCAGAGACGAAAGGGTGGAGCTATGTTCAAATGGATCCTTGAATTATTATCGAGTCTAAGTCTGCAAGAGTTGTTCTTTGTGATGTGATGGTGCCTTTGGATGAATCGCAACCAAGTAGTGTTCCATGAGAAAAGAAGGACTGTGGCTAAATTGGCCAGGTATGCAAATAATTTTTTCAAGAGCTAAGTTAGGTTCGTGCTCAAGAGAGTGTGCCTTCGAGTGATGTCCCTGAGCAGGGACGGAACTAGGAGAAGACTATGAGAGGTTATGGCTCCTCTATTTTTGTGAAAAATATGATTTGTCATAACATTTTAAAAATATATCTCATTTTATACATAATGACCTAAAGTATAAAAAATACATATCTCATTTTTTTTCTATCTTGCACTCTCTTTTTATTTTGTACTTAAAAAAACTTCATCCTATTAGAAATTATTTCTATGGTATTTGAATTTTTTTGTGTGTATACATAATTTATATATATATATATATATTGTACATACATGCTTGTATATGTATATGGCGAAAATTTTGTATTTGTCTTTTAGCTCCTCCCAAGATGAAATACTAATTCTGTCCTTGTCTTGAGGTTGGTTGGC